CCCATAAGAACCAGTACCGCTGTAGTACATTCCTGGATAGCTGCCAGAACCAGACTGGCCTGCAGGGTTCTCCCTCGGCTCGGAGGGATTTTGTCCAGAAGATGAAGCATACCACCACCAGGGTGATCCATCTTCACCAGCTGAGGACAAACATCTACAGTCAGCATCAGCTTCAACCTGCTCACATCACTTCCTGTTTACACTCACCTTGTTGTGGAGCAACACAGGTCATGCTTCCAATCAGCAGGAAAGAAATCCACAACATCCTGCAGGAACATTCAGCTCATCAGGTTAATAAGAGTTCAGAGCAGAAGGTCAACATGGATCATCTAATGTTAGAACATGTAGAAACCCAGTTAGAGACTGGAACTGCCTCACCTCATCCTGCTGCAGGTACCACTGACAGACTGCACCAACACAAAGCTCAGAGCTGCTGACACTGACTGCAACCTGCAGGAGCTGCTTTAAATCCTCCTCACAGCAGCTGCAGCTGATTGGAGCTGATTGGTCACAGCTAACAGCTGCTGCAGCAGAGACACACCAACAGTCCTGCTCATTGGTCACCCTAATCTGGATTATATGACTCTCCCTGTTAGCCTTAGAGCTCGATTCAGTTTTTGACAATGAATCAGTTCTGAACCAAACTAAAAGCTCAATTAGACCTGTCACATGTAGCTCCAGAACACGAATCATTTTATCTGATCACTATTATATTTATCTACTTATTCACTCAATTCAGATTTGCTTTATTATCATTCAAACATGACATCACAGATGTAACCCCTTTGGCTGGAAATGTATAAATTGTTCTTCAAGGTGGAATAAAGGTCTGTGGTGTAAGAAGAAACAACGCGTTGGGGTTGGTGGCTGAAGAGGCACGACCAGACTGTGAATGGTTGGAAGGATGTCAGAGGGAAATGATGTGTCAGGTAGCGACTTTGCGGAAATGGAAGAGGGTGATAATGGCGTGGAAAATGAGGAAATATGGCATACTCAAAAAGCTAAGCACAAAAGGAAAAAATCAAAACAACGTACAGAATCATCTGTTTCTGAGGCTGAAGGAGAAACAGTTAAGATGACAGAATTTAAAATAGTTCTGAAGTTTGTTAAAGAGGATGTGTCCTTTGGTAAGTGGAATCCAATTAAGCTTACTAAAGAAATCAATTCACTGGTTGGAAAGGTGAAATTTGTTAAGATATTAAGAGATGGATCTTTATTGATCATTTGTAATGATGTTAGACAAAATGAAAGGGCTCTGAATGTAAAAAGAGTTCTTGGTGAGAATGTGAGAGGGAGAATTTTGGATGACAAGAAGTACGTACGTGGAGTCATTTCGGGTATTCCACCTGATGTGCCAGCTGATGAGATTAAGTCTAATATTTCAGGAGGGAAAGTGGTGGAAGCCAAACGATTGAAAAGAAATAAAAATGGAGAGAGAAGTGATAGTTTTTCTATCATGTTAAAATTTGAAGAGGAAAGACTCCCAGATAAAGTGTTTGTGGGATATATGAGCTATGATGTCCGACCATTTATTCCTCCGCCGTTGCGGTGCTTTAAATGTCAGAAATTTGGACATGTCGCGGCGGTGTGTAAGGGGAAACAGAAATGTGGGAGATGTGCTGGGGATCATGAGAATGGGAAATGTGAGGAAGGAGCCCCGCTGAAATGTTGTAATTGTGGAGGTGGACACAGTTCAGGATTTAGGGGATGTGTAGCTAGTAAAAGAGCTGAGGAAGTTCAGAAAATTAAAGTCACTACTGGCATTACTTATGCAGAAGCAACGAAAAAAGTTCCTGTGCAACCAATATTATACCCAAAGAAAGTGTCGGGAGGAGAAAAAGAAAGATCTAATTGTACAGAATGCTCCAAGATTAAAAGTGACACTCTACTCATGACAAAGGAGGATTTTGTATTGTTTATGGTAGAAGTTGTTAACTGCACTGCTCAAACACAAAGAAAAACGGAAAAAATTCAAATAATAGTGAAGGCAGCCCAAAAGTATCTTGACTGTAAGAATGTTAGTTGGGAATCAATTAAGGAAAAATTAAATGAAACACAATCTCCTCAACCTCAATCATGCAGTGGTGGCCCTTCTTCTTTATGTTAGTTATTTTCCAGTGGAATGCAAGAAGTCTTATTAGTAACGGTCTAGAAGTTTAAGAAATATATTTCAGATTTGACAGTTAAACCTCACCTGATTTGTATRCAAGAAACCTGGCTTAAATCTCATCTGGAATTTAAAATTCCTGGGTATACATCAATTAGAAATGATAGAAAAGAAAGACAAGGAGGGGGAGTGGCAACTCTTATTCAAGATGGTATAAGGTATAAAGTGGAATCAATAGGGAAAAATTATGAATCAATAGTAATTAAGATTTGGATCGAAAATGGACAAATGTCTGTGATAAATTTTTTTTAATGCCAACAAGAAGTTGTCCATTCAAGAGCTCAATGAAGCAAATGAACAAAATGTAGGTAAGACTGTATGGTGTGGTGATTTCAATTCTCATAATATTTTATGGGGGAGTCTTAATACAGACGCAAATGGAATGGCTATTGAAGAATTTCTTGAGTTACATTCACTYGTTTGCATTAATGATGGTAGCTCAACCAGATATGATTGTTGTAGGAATTTAAAGAGTGTTTTAGACCTAACATTGGTTTCAAATAGATTAGCTGGAATTACATCTTGGGAGGTGKTYAGTGATTCTCCCATGGGCAGTGACCATTTTCCTATTCTAGTTTCAATTGGTTCTGAAGTGATAAAAGAAGAGGAAGGACAAATTCCAAGATGGAGGCTAAGTAGCACTAATTGGGAATTATTTAAACATTTAGTTGATAGTCAAATTAATAAAGTGGATGAGAACTTGTTTTGTAATGTGGAGATGTGTTATGCAAAGATTAAGTCTGTCATTATTAATGCAGCTGAATGTTCAATTTCTAAAACAAGGGGAAGAGGAAAGAAAAAATCTATTCCATGGTGGAATGAGCAATGTAGTATTGCTATAAGAGGAAGAAATAAAGCTTTTAAATTGGTAAGAAGATGCCATACCTTTGAGGCATTAACTCAATATAAGAAAGCACAAGCTATAGTTAGGAAGACTATTAGAGCAGCTAAGAAGGCTTGTTGGAGACAGTATTGTCATTCCATTGGAAGAGAGACCAAATTGTCAGAGGTATGGAGAGTTATTAAGAAAATGACTGGTGTTAAAAAGAGCTTTTCCTTACCGGTTTTAGAATTAAATGGGAAAATAGCAGTTAGTAATAAAGAAAAGGCAGAGTTATTAGCAGAAACATTAATTAAGGTGCATAGTTCAGAAAATTTATCTGAAGATATGAAAAGTAACAAAGAAAATTCTTTGGATGAAAATCCAGAAGTTACTACTAGGAGAGTAGTTTCAAATCAGGATTTAGAAATGCCTTTTACTATGTTTGAGTTAGAAAAAGCTATTAATAATGCTAAGCAATCAACTCCGGGGAAGGATAGAGTGTGTTATACAATGTTCAAACATTTTAAATATTCATCTCTTACTGTTATACTAAAATTGTTTAATTTGATTTGGATGACTGGGAGTATTCCTGCAGAATGGAAACAGTCAGTTATGTAATTCCAGTGTTAAAACCTGGTAAAAATGCATCAGACCCGTCAAATTATAGACCTATAGTTCTCACTTCTCAATTAGGGAAAATAATGGAGAGGATTGTTACAGACAGGCTTTCATATTTTATTGAGAGTAAAAATAAATTCTGTCCTTTTTCAGAGTGGATTTTGTAAAGGGAGGAATACGATGGATGCAGTTCTGTGTCAGAAGTAAGAAAAGCTCAAGCAAATAAAGAATTAGGGATAGCTGTGTTCTTTGACATAGAAAAGGCTTATGATATGTTATGGAAAGAAGGATTATTGATTAAACTAAGAAAACTTGGTATAGGAGGTAAGATTTATAATTGGGTTTTGAATTTTTTGTTTGGTAGAGAAATAGAAGTTCGGGTTGGAGC